TCTAAAGACTTCTGGATCTGGGAAACGAATTGCAGAAATTGCTATATATGAAGCAGCAATTTTATTTAACATGGGTAAAAAGGTCATGTGGCAAATGGGTATCCATCCGGGTATAAATCATGAAAAAAAATCTCTACTTTGCAGTGATATGAAACAAGAGAGCAATGCAAAACACTACAGAAGCACAAAAAATGGAAAAGATCCAAAAGAAGTTTAGACCAGCAAATGGATCGTTGAAAACAGTTGACTATGTCATTATCCATTTCAATGAACAATGCATAGTTAAATTTTTTCTCAGATGCATTTTCCTATTCTATCAATAACTTTATTCAAAACATAAACAAAAAGTATAAAATACAAGTTAGGTACCAAACAGTATGAATTAGAATCATAAAGTGAGAGTGTTACTCATTTTTATTGCGAGGAAAACCTTAAAGGTCTTTAATCTCAAAAGGTGTTTTATTTTTTATGCTTCGTCCATGATATTTCAAACATTTTTTAATATATGAATTTATGAAATTTGTACCATACTATTTTCATGTCTGAACTAAAACTGTGATATTTTATTAAAATATTTTGATTTTGTGAGGTAAGTAAATATCAAAATATAGCAAAAAATTTAGATTTATATATATATTTTACAAAAATAAATAAAACTGCATGAGTTGTCTAATATTTCTAGTTAAGTTATATTCTCAAACATTCTTCAACATGAAAGGAAAAAAAAAAGTAAAGATTTTGGTACAAAACATTCGGTGCACGCAGTGCGAGTAGAGATTAATCAGATGTGAAAATCATTTTATGATTTAACCTTAATTTTTGATATTTTATTAAAACTTTTAAACTTCACGTACAACTTAACTAAATTATAGCTGTTAAATTCACGAAGAGAAAAATATTGAGTAATTTTGTTAAGAATCAAAAAAGTTGCATGATATTGAAGAAAAGTTTTAAAAAATTCATCTTTCGACTCGTTCAAGAGATGTATGACCCCTTAACACTTCGCAGCGGAGTTGGTGGTCTGTCTTCACCAGAAAGCAACATAGAAGGTTACTAGCTGTTGACTAAACTAGCTGTTAACATTATTTATTCTCTGATATTCAATTATATTTTTAAAAAAAGCCATGGGTGTGTGAATCATTTCTCAAGTTGCAGTGGGTTGATAGTCATGCGGTGATAGAAGCAAAAAAGAATAAATAATGACCCGACAGCTTGGTATCAGAAGCGAAGTGAAATTAAGAAACAAGACTCTCCACTTATTAAAATAAAATAAAATAAAAAAAAACACCCCGCAAGCGTAACCCCCCCCCCCCAAAAAAAAAAAAAAAAAAAAAAAAAAAAAATTTCTGATGGTCCAGATTTTAGATCATTCCGGATAGTGGACGTCTGAATTTCAGCCTTTGTACTGTATCTACTTCGTTAATTAAAAAATCCCGATAGAAAATTTTAAGATCCGACGATCTTCCAGGCCAACAAATGGGACTACTACACCCAGTTCACCATTTCCGAATGTCCGGTTTACATATTGACGAACATCATTGCTGAAATGACGGCAGTTCTATCGTGCTGGAACCACACTGCATGGCACTACAACTGCTGCACCCACTGTTGATCCAGTTCTTGCAAGACAGCCTAATTAAGCGGTTTCCAACAATGTCAAACCAAAAATTTATAGCAAATATGTGCTTTACGAGTTTCTTTGCTGCCCATCCATGGATATTCTATGCAGTCAGTACAAAACCTGCCTCATTTATGACCAACGAAGCAGGAAATACTGATTCCGACACTCTCTTCTAAGATACCATTGTGCAAATGCAACCTGCTATGTATAATCAACAGGTTGCAGTAGCTTGATGCTTTGCACATGGTAAGGATGCAATTGGTTCTCATTCAGGATCCTCCATATGGTACAATGGAATGACTGCCTCGATAACAAAGCATAGGTGTTTGTCATTCGGGACAGATGCAAAATTCATTGCTCCTCCACCTCTACAAAATATGATATTTTTATAAAGACAAAATTATCTAGAGAGAAGAAATTTTTAAACAACAAAGACTTTTTCCCCCCACACTTCAAAAATTTTTACAAATTAGAAAGCAAAATTTAATTGCAGAAATATCCTTTGATTTCTAATATTAATACATTATTATCTCTTACTTTAAGAAAATTTATTGTTAATAAAAAATTATAGCAAATATTATTCAAAAACTACTGAATGTTGCAATGTGATATAAAATTTTTTTCAATGAAGAAAATCATTTTTGGCACCAGCTCTCAAAATAAAAAAAAGGTAATAATTTATTTAATTTTTTACTGCACAGAAATGAGTAAATTAATTACAAATTATATTATAAATAAAAACAGAACTTCTTTCTTAATCTAAAATTTTATTTTCCTCATAGCAAAATCTTTAATAGCACTATCAATATTGATTGCACTAAGTCATTTCTCGCTCAATAGCCAAAATGGCAAGATTAATCAATCTTAGTGCACTCACTGTGGATAGTAAATAATTTACAATTCAGCGAAGCTTTCTCTCACAGATGGCACTGCCTATGGCAGTTGTGAGGAATATTTGAAGCAATATTGCTATATAGGCAGACTAACTTCCAGCTTTAAACTGCATGATAAATTTTAATACATCAAGTGAGCTTGAATTTATTAATTCATTTTTATTGCCTGTGGCAGCAAATATCTTAGTCATTCGGGTTTGAACTCTTCTTTGCCAGTGTCATAAGATACGTACTCTAAATTGAAGTCATCGTCATCAGTATCTAATAGTTTGGCTGGTGTAAGAAAGGCAGTTTTGTAACCAAATTCCGCAACTGCTGAAACTTCTCATGAATTCCTAGAGTTACCTTAATCTAACCAAGAAAACAACTTGCTTCTCAACATGTTGTCATGGAACAAGGCAGCATCTTTAGGTCTGTCGCCCAAAATTTTCTTTCCCGTTATTCGTCTAGGAGATTCCTTTAAAATGCAAAGGTCTTCACACAAATTTTTATCACAACTCGAAGCAGCCTGTACCGATTCCTCTTGTTTTTCTGTGAGTAGCGTTTGCAAAGTACTTATTTTTTTTTAAACACTGATGTACATTGTGTCCCTCTATTTGTAAATAATTTTAGGTATCACTGACTTCATGCAGAGTTCCAAAAACATAGAAAAAAAAAAAATAACTGCATTGTGACCAGCAAAGTTCCTGCCTCTGTCTAGATTTTAGATTTGTCAAAGTAACCTTATAATTGTTTAATGTCATATCTCCTGCTTTAGCTCTTACACTCCATCGTATATGCTGAATCCTTTTTAATGTCTTCTCTGTAGCAGCAATCAGAACTTCCCAATAGTGTGCAGACATGAGAAAGAATGCACACAAACATCCTGTTACAGAATTCATTTCACCTGAAGCAGCATGTAAACAAACCATGCTTACTGAATGGTTTGAGCAAGATACAAATTCGACTGGTATTTATGTCTTTGAGCCTTCGTTGCAATCCTGTATGCTTTTCAACCATGACATCTGCAGTTCATTATATCAGCTTTAAAAGCTTACTTAAAATTACGTCAAAAATGTCTTCAACAGTTTTATTTTTTGTTTCAATGAAAGCTATGAAAGATTCGACCACTTCTACTTTCTGATTTTCAGTCTCTATATATCACAAAGCTTGACTTATTTCATTTTTTGTGTAAAATAACTGCAGTGCTATTCCAATATAATGAAATAATATTTGGCCTTTTTTACAAGACAGGGTAATTTGTTGGCAAACGTTTCAACAGCAAAAGGTTTTCTTGGAGTACTGGATTATGTTTTGCAAGCAGATGTATGTTTGCAAGCAGAAGCAGTTCTAAGAAGTAGCCTCTTTTTCTTTTGAAAAGTTAAATTCTGTTTTGCCAGGAATTTAATATCAAACACTCTAACAAGAATTTCTTGCCACTTCTATTGTTTTTTTCCTCTTTTGTCACAATATACTGCTCTTTTTTTAATCAACAATCTATCCTTTTTGAAGTCTGCTTTCTAATTATTTCCATTTGAAAAAAAAAAAAAAAAAACTGGCGGCTGTGGTGAGCATTTGATTCATGATTGGCTACTTTGGTACTTAGTTTCTTGCATTTATTAAATCCATTAGACGAGCTAAACTCCAATTCATTCGGCATGTTTATATTATCAAACAAATGATAATAAAAGCAAATGCTTTAGATGTAGAATAAACCAACTATAGTGCATAGCACTTTTTCACCATTAGTTAATGTTCTGTAAAATCATTTTCACTTTAATTTGATAAGTTTAATGGTTCTGTAAAACCATTTTCATGTTAGTCGCCTCGTCGCTCTTTTTGGTGTAGTAAGGTCCATGTTTGATTGCGACATTGTTGATTCTTCAGCATAGTGTTCATCAGCTACACAACTTCCAGACCTCGCTGGACAAGTAGCAATCTAATATTTTATGTTTATGTTCAAGCCCTTTTCTAACTGCATAGAAGCCATCGCCAGTGCTTTATCAGTCTCAGCCTCAGAGCTATTGAGAACTATATTTGAACATGCTGATATAGATTCTAACTTAGTAGATGTATTGGAATTTGATTTGGTTCAGCAATCATCTACAACAGGAGAAGCACATGAGTGCCGCTCGGAACTGGTGCCTCCTTTAACCACTCCCCCACGGTACACTTCATGGCAAGTCTTTGGTGATTGTGAGCCCATCGCCCATTAGAGTCTGCAGTCCCACATGCAAGAAGAATCTCAGCTAATTGTGCTTACGTGCAAGTCATCCTCGTACGACCTAGTCGAGCGCTCCCGGAATGACGGTTTTTTGCAAAATGTTTTGAAATCCTGCTCTATATAACACCATCTACCACATGATGTTTCCGACCCTGAATAGCTTCTGATGCATCTTCTTTGAGCAACTTAACCAATAAAGTGCAGGAATGGTTAAAACTGCAGAAGTTTATACACGCTATACTGAAATATTTGGTATAACTCGATAATAAAACATAAGACAAAGTATTCTTCACGTTTTACTTATCATTAAAACAAAATAAGCTTCTAACATAAATCTAATGTTTAAAAAGCCCTTTAATTCATTGACAGATATGACATAAATTTAACATGCGTACTAATGGAACATCAAATAGATACTTACGTACTATAACGACTATCTAGATATCTCGCCAAAACTGGCGACCCTTCTAGGTTATACAGGTTAAACCTAACGTAGGCTATAGAGGGCACTAAAATAAAGAGTATTATACTGTACTAGTCCCGCACTTGCTAATACAACACATTTTTTTGCTACATTTACATGGATTATTATGTTTAGGTTAAACACGTGAAACTTTTTGTGATTATTTTTTCCCAATGGATATCAACATTTTCCAACTGTCTTCAAATGAAGAAGCGATATAGTTTTTCAGAGAGGCTGGAATTTTACCCAAAGAACGCGTTTGTAAAATGGCCACAATATGAAGTTTTATAATTCAGGATTTTATTGGAGATGCAATGTCAAAAACTGTCAACGTTTGTTAAAATATGTACATTTATTTATATGTATATATATATATATTCGGAATTTTTGTTTTTTAAATTTTTGTTTCTTCATAATTAGGGCTTTTATTTTTAAAAGAATTCATAAACACAAACCAAAAAATGCAAATGAAGATTTTTATCAGCAAATGTTGCCAAGGTAGTCGTCATAGTACGTAAGTACCATCAAATCAAAGACTTTAACTTTTTATATAAAGCTGAGTATTTTATTTGCAAAATAATGTGTTAGTACAGATAAATAAGAGTTTGAATATTACTAAGAATATACTTATTCTAGAATTCTCCAATGTTTCGAGGGAAATAGAATGCCCTTAAGTGGTCCATTTCTGGTAAGTTTACTTCACATAGTAACTGAAATACAAAAATATTTTATTTGTGCTCTTCTTACAGTAACTACCATCATGTTAATTAACATCTATAAACACTTCTGTTTCTTTCAGTTCTAGCTGTTTTCTTTTCAACAGATTTCAAAATCCAATTCTTCTTTAATTATTATGTTTGACTCAGTCAGTTGTGAACCTGCATTAGATTTTCTGCTGTGGGATATAAAAAAATTTGCTAAATTTTCAGCACTGTTAATTTCACTGTTTTCTTCTAAAAATGTCCGTAAACAATCCATCAAATAATTATTGTTTTTATTTTCACGTAAAATTGCAAACATATTCTGACAAGTATTTGAAAAACTTGAAATTAAATCATCAGCTTGCTCTTCCTCTTCAATTTCATTAATGATTAAGTTGTTGTCTACCTTTGATCTAGAAAGGAAAAAAGCATATGATAAGGAAAATAAAAATATTTTTCGAGTAAATTAATACTCATATTTATTTACACATACTCTCTTTATATATACATAAAGTCAACACATATAATATAACTGTATAAAGCACACTCTAGGATATAATGGGGGGGGGACTCTGAAAGCTTTCTGATTTTATCACGCCCAAAGCAGCTTTCCCCCCTTCCGTTACCTTTATTTATTAAACATCATGTTCTTTGCACTTAAACCATAAATTCAATTCAACAGCAATATCACAAAATATTTAAAAGAGCATATCTTTAGAATTTTCAATACACAGTCTCACACACTGGAGATAATTCCTCCCCATACAGTGTTGCCATTGCTTGATTTGAAATCGTTGAGTTTCTTAATCAAAAACTTATCTATGCTTTACAAAATATGAAATAGATAATAAAACAAATTTCAGATTCCAAATTTGGGTTTCCAGATGGTCATATTCGAGTGGAGGCGTATGTTATTCAGAATTTGATGGCTCTAGGTACCGTTGTTTTATCAGAATGCGAAAAACATACATACATTTAGGCAGATTCTTCATTATTTAATTTCTTTAAATATAATAAAGGGCTCTAATATTTGGTGTCAACAATTTAAATGATGATTTGATGTTTATAGTTAATCAATGCAACATGCCAAAACAAAATTAATAGCCCTTCTGGGCAAATTGCCACTTTGGACTAAAAATTTTTAAGTACTGTATAATTTCCTATAATATCATTTTATTCATTTACAGAAAATTTCTAAACATCCATGAATTTTATTGATGTCTTTCGATTGACCTTTTTCTTTTGGGAGGGGTGTGTGTGTGTATTTCTTTGCTATTTCAGCTAGTTCGAATTGAAAAATTAACAACTCCTGTTCGTCTTACTAATCTTCTTGGATCTGAACATAATCCAATTCAGGTCCATAAATTTTATCTTGGATCATTTAAATCATTTGTAATTCATAAAATTAGATAAACACTTGATTTAATGAAAACCTTTTTTAATTACAATTTTCATTTGTCCCTTGAAAACTGCTAAACTGGGATCTGACTACATTTCGAATTAGCACTTTTGATGTTAAATGCAATTTTCTAACATTGCAAAATTATAAACAAAGAGAAAGAAGACATTTGATCTACACATCAGATACTTTGTGTGAATGTTCAAAACTCATTTCAGCCCAGTAGTGTAAATAGGGATAGGCAAGGAATGCAGCCATGTAGAAGCTTGAGTTCTCAAAGGGTCCTTAGATGTTCTGCTAAATTATATTTGCATGTTGAAATTTTTTATATAGAAAGAAAATAGAAATAGATTGGTTATTTCTGCTCACACAAAAATATATTTATAATGTTTTTACTGATGCAAAAGCAGAAGTTTGTGTCATTATATATGAAACTGCCTGAAAACAAAGCTACAGAAATATCATTTGAAAGCAAATCCAAATTCAAAACAAGTTGCATGTTGAATAAACAATCAGTATTTGATTTGGTTAATTTTTGTGCTTCATAAAAATCTTTTGTTGATTTTCTGCTATTTCGTTCACCCCCTCCAATTATACTGGAAGCTCCGTTTACAACACTATGAATACTAACTTCCCTTAAGTAATTGTTCCAGTTTAGTGCTATTTTCGAGAATAATAAGTCACATTATAATCGAGACTATAATCGACTATAATCGAGAATATAACTATAATCGACCACTATAATCGAGAATAATAAGCCACATTCTGTGGATTATATCAAGTTCATTAATACACCCGTTTTTTGACGGTAGGGTTCAATGACTATGAAAATATTAAACTGCCTGCTGTTTTTATTGAAGGTAGATTCCAAATTTTAATCCCTTCTTTTTTTTTTTTTCACAATATGTAAAGGAAAAATATAGTAATAGTATTTATATCTTTATTTACAAAAATAAAATGTGGCTTATTGAGAATCAGTACTAACTTCTGATTCTGATTCCCTATGACCTGACTGCTTCAATAATGAGAAAGGCCATTAGCTATTCTGCACTGAAGACCATTTAATGATTAAATTAATTGTGAAAGCAATTTTGAGGTTCAAGCCTATAACAAGGGCAGCAAAAAAAAAGGGACCCTCAGTAATTCATTAGATGTCCAGATAAGGAGGTCCAAGAAAAGTTTCTGCATTTTTGCCAGGTGTTAAATACTTTCCCATACATAAAAAGGAGTTAGTTTAGGATAAAGATTAACAATACTACTAGGGACATTGTTGGCTACATATCTATTACTGCTTTTAAAGTAGTTTGATAATTTAACCATTTATGTTGCTGTCATGTTACGTAATGTTGAATAGCATTTAAAAATGGTACTTTCCCGTTACAAAGACATCAGTCGAAAATGTTCGTCAAATATATCAGCTGAATGCATCTACATACATACAATGGGTGCCAACTGATGCCTCTTTAATAGAAAAGTACCAAAAATATAAATAAATAACACATTTTAAACCCTATTTCTTTCTATTCAAAATTCTAATTTCTCCTTTTCAAGGTTTTTACTTTAATTACCCGAATAGTTGATTGGTTTTACGCACTTTTCCTCAATTAATAGAATAGCTTTTGATTAAGAAAATTTTATGAAGCATAGTAATTTTAATACATAGTAATTTTAATTTTAGGAAAATTACTCTTTGCCAAAAGCCAAACATAACCTTTTAATGATAATAAAATTTTATATGACATGATATGACAATTCATAATCGAGAATAATATATTTTTATAATTCTTTTGTTATGCCAATGAAACTTGTTATACTGGCCTCTTACATCCAACAGAAAAAGAACATTATAAAATGTGACCATTTTAGCAAACATTAATGCACTATTAGGCACTTTTTATACCAGCTCATTGTAACAGACCAGTGATTGTAATGAATATCACTGCATTAATATTTCTAGCGTGCCTGTCTGAAGTAAGACATATGTATATATCTTCTTCCAAAATTATAGAAAAGTTAATGATTCAACATTCAACTATTTAGATAAGCATTTTTGTTTTGCCTAAAAAGTGAAAAGACCTAACAAGATGTTTTATTAAAACTCGAATAATTCCTGTTCATGCAATATTTTAATACCTTTAAAAGCTTTCCATACATGGTAGAGATCAAAAATTAGCATAGTTCCTTTAGTTTGGGTAATTTTCAAGAATATTTAGAGAATTTCATTTAATAATTAATTGACTGCATGGTTAATGTCAAGCTACAATCAAAGTTTGATGTTTTTTACATTAATGAAAAATTATAATGGCAAACATTCTTAGAAAGAAATATAGTTCTACAAATAAAATGGAAACTTTTTACTTCATTTTTATAAATTAGGATCATAAAACTTTTCTGAAAGGATAAGTTTCTTGAAATTTTTCTTCAGTAAAATTCAGTGACTAGTCAGATCTCTAAATTACAAGCATCTCCAGTTATATAACTTCCCTGTTCTAAACATTTTATAAGAGAACTTCTGTAAGTATTCTAAGAATTCCATGTTAAATCAATTTTGTTTAATTAGTTTCTAACTAATGTTATGCATTTTTAGAATTTAAAAAAGTTTTCACATATAACATTTTAATGAAGCATATCAAAAAAGAATGTTTCACAAGATAATTAATTGTGTGTACATAAGGATTTATGTAACCATATTTTCTATCCCATTGGTTTCTAGATACTAAATAATAAATACCATAAATTGTTACAAATATGCTATGATCAAAAATTAAAATGGGGCCCTGAAAAACTGTCACTCCGATACAGATTACGAGGTCAAAATTTTATATATCCAAATGCACCTGGCAATGTATTCAATCTTTATTTGTCCAATGAGCTTTAGAGACAATAATAAATATTTATACTAAGGGTTCTCAACCAGGAGGGGGGTTTCATGGGAAATCGGTCAGCCTTTTATTTATCTGTTAAGTACTTAGTTTAAGTATATAAAAAATTAATTCTATTCAAGTTTTTGTATTTATCAAAATTTTTTATACTATTTTTTGTTTAATTTATAAAACACATTAAAAAATACTCTGGCTAATCTTCCATACGCAGGGTAAGTTGGCATCACGTTTGCGATGTCAAACTTCACATTGGCATTTCCTTTTGCAATTGCCAACTGCAAAAAGAAACAGTGATGTAAAAACTAACATCGTCAAACGAAAATGACGTTAAATACTACACAAGCATAAGTTACTACAAACTAAAACATAAATTTAAAATAAACCAAAATCACAAACATGAAACTAGAAATTACAAAAATACAAAAATAAATTACTACAAAAATACAAAAACAATACATACCAAATGTTTCTTCACTTGCATCAAAAAATTGTCAACCAAGTAAATATATTCACGTTCACTAACAATGGATGCATGATAAACTCACTAAAATATACAAGTTACTATCATGGAATTCAACATACTGAACCACTTTCGCTCAACATTTTAAACATTCCACATCTCTCAGTTGTCACTTACAAAAAAGCAAAACTAAAAAAAAATAATTAACTGACCCAAAAAGCCTTAACTAAACAAAATTAAATGAAAACACTCATAAATTATAAATTATACGCCATCTAAAATCCAACATTCTCCTACCAACAACAGCTTAACCTCCTGCAAATATTATACAGTAAAACTTTTTAAAATAAACATATTTCAAAATTAAATTTAAAAAAATCTTCTTTCTACACTAAACTCACATTCATTACAATCACCAAAATAAAGCTCTATGTTTGCCACAAGAAAGCATACAGTTGAAAACCACAACCAAATCGTAATTGGGCTGAATAAAAACTCTCGCAAAAGTTTCACGCTCACTCCGATTATGGCAGATTAACCAATAATCTAAATTGAAATAAATGTGTATATATTTTTCATGTTTTGGAAAGGGAAGGGAGGGATGAACATCTAGCACGCAAACAAGTTTGAGGACCACACACTTATATGAACAACTCAAAAATCAGAGTCAGATTCCTATTCTTTCTGAGTATATCAAAGAAAACAAACAGCCTATACATGTTGATTAAAATTCAGAAAAGTCAGTTTCTGTTCAACCAGAATTGCCTAACACATAAGATGACTATCAGATGGGCACTGCAATTTTACACCTAATGGCAAATAACCGTTTAGCTGTAATATACCCTGACAGCCAATTAAGCATAATCGTAGCAAGGAATAAGTGCATGTAGTTGTTAAACTGAAATAGTCAAATTGCAAAACAAAATGCTGTAGTTAAAGACCATTCAACTCTGCACATTAGAAATGCAGGTATATACAAGAAAGGATGCATTAAACTTGGTACTGGGGTACAGGATGTTAGAACAGGTGTCAAGTGTCACTTCTCTAGACTAGCGGTCGTCAACCTTTAGAACTTCATGGGCCACTACATATATAATTTTATATTTGGCAGACCACTAATATGAATTTAAAAAAAAGGTAAAGACATTTATACAATAATAATCAGAAAACTACACGTATTTCATTCACATAGAAAAATTACATGAAAAGTACAAAAATCTTACTTTCTGTTATAGAAAGCTTCACATTTCCATATCATTAAAAAGGAACTTCACGAAAAGCAAGAACAAGCCAGCAAGAGCACAGCAATATCAATAAATGCACAGTGTTATGCGCCAATTTTTAATTATTGTAAACTTAATAATCATTGCATATTCAGCAATGGTGCCATCGATCAACAGTTAGACAAAACAAAATGGAAACTTCTAGTGATGCCATTATAAACAGGAATGAAGATGATTCTCATAAAAATCTATCAAGATGACTATTGACACAGAGAAAAACTGTATTATTAATGACCACAATAGCCTATGTTTGTAATTCAAAAGGAAAAAATTCCAGTTCACTCTATTATTGATAATAGCAGCACATCCATGGATGCCAATTCTCACTTTCAAATGTCACTAGATACACCTGCAAAAGTAGCTAAAAAGTCATTAAATTCAAAAGAAAATTCGCTAAAAATAGTAGCTAAAATTTAAAAAAAGTATAATCCATATTTCATAAGAGGTTTTGTTACTCATCATTTTTAAACTGAATCTTCATAAAAATATAAATAATGTCCCAATTTTTCTGCAGACCATCAAAGAGCTTTCACGTACCACCTGTGATCCGTGGACCACCGGTTCGCAACCGCTGCTCTAGACCATTTGCAAGCAATGGAACAACCTGGAGAATCATGCTTACTAGGAACAGCAGATCATAGGATGCTGGAGGTTATTTAATATATCAACTAACACTCCAGTGATTTCTAGAGATACATGCTCATCTTAACCTTGAATATATTATTATTTGCTCTTTCATTTATACAAACACAAACTCTGAAATCCAGATGTCCAATATCCAACATGATCTATAATCCAGGCCTCCAGATCATCAGCAAACTTTTTTAAAGAATTTCTTTTTAGAGAAATATGTTTTATGCGAGTGCATTTGATATTTTTTAATAACACAATGTGGAGAGTTTTGATTTTTAATTTCACTCTGGTAGCAAACAAAATACATCTTTATTATAGAAACAACCATTTATTGGCAAAAATCTATATGATCAATAATTTGTTTTCATTGCCATCCTTTGTTTAGCATACATCTCAAACTGAAAAATCGCTAATTTCACACCTAATGAAAAATTTCTGTTTCTGATGCCAATGTGCAGAATCATTATTTGTTATTTTTTTAGCTTCCTCACCATGACTATCAACACACGGCAGCTGAAGAAATGGTTAAAGTAGTGATGTTTAAACAATTTTTATTTAAAATATTAATAATTGAATATCAAAGAGCATGGCAACCTTTTATGTTGGCATCCCGTTTGGAAACAATTACAGACTTTAGCTGAATGCTCTGGGAAGTGTTAAGTGTGGTGATGAGGGGCAATTCAACAGAAATTTCTTTCCATATGCAAAAAATAGATTTTGTAAATAACACTTCTAGGCCAAAAGATTACTTTTAGTGCTATATGAGTTGAGAATAATTAATTTATTCAGATAAGCTTAGGATTGATGCCAGAGTTGGTGCTATTGTACAGGACAGCAGAACTTAGGGAAGGGAAAATTTTTAGAATTTAGACAAGCACTGAGAAAGAAAATTAAAAGGATAGCAAAATTTTTAAAATTCAGAGAGGCACTTAGCAGATTATAGGACATGCACAAACTGCACAGGGCCACAAAAATTTCTAGCGCCAGCTCTAGATAAGCCTTAAGTATATGTGAAAATTTATTTATTTGGGGCCAAGATAAGTGTTAAGCATAAGCAGGAAATAAGTATAATAAATAACTAACCTAATATAAGTCAGGCTTAACTTTGCCAGCATGTGAAAGAAGCAAGATAGTTTTTAGTCACCAGTCTCATGATAAATTGCCAATAATGTGTAACAAACGCTCACTAAACTTTAAATGATAGCTGCAAATTTTAAAGTTTTAAGATATCACAAACAAAAAACAAAATTTTCCAACTATTGGAATTTGCGAAGAATTATGGAGAAGGGGTAATACAGTACAAAGTCCATAATCCGGACTCGCAGGGGATTCCAGATTAAGGGTTTTTCCAGATTATAGATCATCAATTTTAATCTGGTAAGATGGCATGCAGAAATTATAAAATTAAAAATATGAAACCATAATTTATGAAATAAAGAGCAATTATGATCTAAAAGGTATCAAAATTTACAAAAAAAAAAAAGCTAATATTTATTTGTTTACTTTATCAAACATTTCTTTCAATGTAAGTTGTTTAAGTTGCTTCGTTTTTTGTGCTAAATGCATAAACATTAAACACGCATGCATAACATTAAACGTGCATGCGTAAATGCATTATGCGCATGAGTAAAGCATACAAAAAAAAAGTTTGTGACTTTGAGGTCCGGATTACAGACTTTGTACTGTAAATACAAACTATACAAAAGAAGTATCTCATTACAGTGACAATGCCCTAATCATCAATCAACTAATAGATGACCAAATCTGTATTATTGTTCAAAACCCAGAAGATATCTCTATAGATAGTGAAGAAAATGACAGAGAGAGTGTTGAAAAAAAAATTGTGATTGACAATTTAGAGCGAATTTTCAACATAACAACTGAAGAATGGAAATTTGTAATTAAACAAGAAGTTATGTCTAACTATAGAATTAAAGAGTAAGTATTAGCACACACACACAAAAAAAAAGAAGCAACTTTAAACAACATGCATTAAAAGAAATGTTTAATAAAGCAAATAAATAAATATTGAGGTTGTTTTCCCCCTAAACATTTTAATTCCTTAAATGCTTCAGTATTTCATGTTTTTAATATTATAATTTCTATATGTCATATTAATAGACTTAAACTGATGACCTAATATCCAAAATTGCCAAAGTTCCGACAAGTCTGAATCTAAGACTCTGTATTATTATAACTACAGTTCTGTTAATTCTTTCTTGGTTAGTCTATATTTTAGGGTACCCCTTTGATTATTATCAAGTTGCCGTTTACAGGGTAACCTGAGTTTCACAGTTTTTACTTTTGTGAATTAATGTGGCGACAGCAGTATACAGATACTAGTTTAGATAATTTTAAATAGTTTTGGGATGCTGTTAAGGAATTCTGTGTGTCACACATATCGAAGAAACATAAATTTTTAAACAAGGGAAGTCGACATTTCCTCTTTGTACTGTGTAGATTAGATAACATGTACTTCAACTCTTATGTTATTTCCTTGTTTAATTTAAAATGCAGTTTAATGAGATAATATATTTTTCTTTTAATTATGTTTTGGACACCATATTACTGGGAAGGGCGCTGGACGTAAACAGGAATGGCGCTAAAAACTTGCCAATTTTCGCCAAGGGGTATCCTGAAATATATTTTTACCCAATTCTTTTCAGCTAACATAAATTGTAAAACAAACAAGTTCACCTTAATGTTTTTATTTATACCACAATACGAGTAATCACAAACTGCTATTCGAGATAAGGAAATGCATGATGACAAGTTCAATACTGGTAAATTCCTGAACTTCCCCCTTTATAAACTGCAGCTTTTATTAGTTTTTCTTTTTTTTTAAAAAAAAAGAAATATATATATATATACATATGTACCATTTTACACGTCAATTCCAATGAGAAGGTAATTTCATTAAAAGTTCTAGGGCAATGTAACAATGCTAGTCAGTGAATAAAATATCTAATAAATGAAGCTGCAGTCAGTAATTTTTAAATATAAATAATTCAAAAATATTTACATGTTAAATTTTTTTATTATTATTTATATCTTATAACAGAAGAATAATAAAATTTTATGCAATTGCTAGCAATAGCGGCATGTTTCATTCTTCAAAAAGACAATACCATAATTTTGCGTAAAGTAATTGTCACATAGACCTAGTTT